TACAAGTCCCTATTTTGACTCCATGTCTAAAAGTTGTAATATTCAGGAGAGTCAAGATAGCGATTTGTAGCTTGAGGAAATAATATCAACACTAGTCTCAAACCTTATGCTTGTTTGTTTACTTTTCTGCAATTGCATTTTCACTTTAAGCTACCTATCTTGTTTCTATATTTTTGAAGATCCCTATTCCCCCTTTTTAAATTAATTTTTTTAATAATCTTGTTTTTTTAGCTTTTTTTATGTTCATAATTGACCTAAATCTGTATAATAGCAATACGTTCCTATTTGAAACAGTTTAGACTAATCTATACATATATACATGCAGGCTTTATAGTTATTTAAGTTGTAAAGCCGTATATATAGATAGCCATATGAATTTTTCATGTTGTATAGACGCATGTATATATATATATTCAATGTAAATATAAGGCAATGTGTCATAAAATAATAGGATATGTATACAAATAAGCAATTTTAATATCTCTTATACTTGATATGTTCCCCCTTCATCTTCCTCCTCTCTGCTGGCTATAGTAAGGTTGGTCACGGTTTTACTACAGCTGGCCAGATTTCCTCTTAGAGTGACAATTCTGCACACTTCTACGAGGTCGAAAACGCATTAATTAACAATTATGAATTGATTATGTTAATATACCTTTCCTACCTCCATTTCTGATGGTCATGGTTTGGGTCATGACACTTCAACGACTCTCTTCCACTATGACGACCCTAAACTCTGGTGGGTCGTCGTTTCTGCAAACTTTATCTGAAATATATTTTCTAAATAGAATATATAGCTATAAAATTTCTGCCTCACTTTCGCCTGGAATCGCCATCTCCTGCTTGCACGATTCTTGCCAGTCCTTATAGTCATCTTCAAGGATGGCTACTTTATCTGCAATACCTATAAAATTCGCAATCACTCAGTGTTGGCTATAATTCGACACTTAGCATTAGCCGATGCTCGAAACTCAGCTTGGTGTATCTTTTAAACTATGGCTTACAAGATGTCTGCTGTAGGAGACAACCTAGCCGTTTTAGTCGTTTGTGTAATATGGCCGAAATCGATCATGCAGTGGTAAAAAAACAACAACTGTGATCCTGTCAGCAGCGTCGTGTCCAAAAGGGTAGGTACCCTATACATAACAAACGACATGCGACATCAAACAGTTGCAATGGTAAGTTAATAATCGCGATGGTACATATAAACATATTTGAGCGATTATACAGCCGCTGTTCTTTACTAGGTAATAAAATAAACTTAAAAACTACCCTGCACAATGCGAAATGATGCGTTTAGTAATACTGCTCAGGTTTTATTACAATACTCACAGCCATATTTGCTCTAGGCTGGCGGAACAATAAAACAAAACAAAACATGAGCAATCTTTAGTATGAACCACTACCATGGTTCATGATAAGACACTGTTAGCAGCGGACAGACACTAGTCCATCAATACGATCATTCGTTGTCCGCTATTTACGGATATCAAATGTAAAGGAAAGGAAATCCTATTTCTTTCTGAACGATCCTCAAACATTGCATCCGGCTCTCAACCAATTGAAAAATGTACTTCAACTGTACTGAAAAATCCATATTTTATTAATAATCATTTCATAATGCGAAAACTATATGTTTCACAGAGTTCAATAAAAAATATTACAAGATCACACGTCTTACATATTTATAGTGACTACCAAGAACAAAAATATGATATTCACTTTTTTTCTAAAACACAAAATACATAATTTATCACAGGGTTTATCAGGAACATTCTTTATATTAACACATAATAAGCATTCTATATATAACGCATAGTGAGTAGTATCTACCACGACTAATTATAAGATACCATTACAAGTATTCACTGTCTTACACAAATATTAACATTCTTTATATAATAGCCAAGTTAATTTATCCAGCGCCCTCAGCGGCAAGGCATAGCACAGATGGCCAATTGTGTAGCTTTATGCTTAAGAACAAATATACAAACTTTTATTCAAACATCATGAACATTTTTATAAGACATATCATGATAATTCATTTTATAAGGCACACTACTCGTATTTTTATAAGACATATCATGAGAATTCCTTTTATAAGGCACACTACTCGTATTTTTATAAGACACTTTTATGGGTACGTTTTTAAACATTTATGTCATACGCGTTCACTTAGAAGACGCATCATAAGTATTCGTTACTGATGCATATCATGGGTCATCATAAGCATTCGTTAGTGATGCGAATTCATTTGATTATACACATAACGAACATTTTCAGTTTGTAAAATAATATAGTTTCAGGTCTTCAATTCTCCTCAAAAATATTCGCTCGTTGACTCATAATTCAGATAATGCTTGATATACTTTCAGATTAGAAGACTCAGAAATAAGTTTAATCCTAAACGACTCAACACTTGATAAGTAGCTGATCTGACACGTGGTATTTAATACTCGTTGTTGTGTTCATATATACAGAGACACGTTTCTTTGTTTGTCTGGTTTTGTTTAATGGAAATATGCACAATGGGTTATCTGAACTGTGCCCACCCTAGGGAACGAACCCCACATTTTAGCGTTATAAGCCCCCGGGGAGATTATGATATGAACATCAGCATTTGTATTGTTTTGGTACGTTCAGAAAAATATACCAATTTGTTCACTTTATATTGTTTTGATAGTATATCAAAATGTGATCTTTTTATTGTAATGGTTTGTTAAAGTAAATATAGTATATATATATATATATACACCAGTATGTATGATTTCTATTGTACTAGCTTGTTAAAATAAGTGTATATTGATTCTTTGTCTTCAAGTGTGTTAGCCTGTATGTTTATATATTTAGATA